ACTTAGGCCGGGTTTTTATCAATCCACCTAGTATATCAAGAAATATTAAGTATAAATAATGAAATATTAATTAATTAGAAATTAATTAATAAGTGTAAAATGACTGTATATTATAAAATTAAGATTTACTTAAAATCAGAAAAATTAAAAATTAACACTTCTGTCAAGTTTCTTCTGTTTAAAATGGACTTGAGTGAGTGTCAGTGAAACCACCGATTATTTAAAAAAGTTATTTGGTTTTTTATTTAAATTATTTATTTTATTATTTTTAATATTATATTTAAGCTACTGTAACCTAAAGTAGTACATATGTATCAAGCAAACGATGAAAGAGTATTATATGTGAATTCCATCTGTGTATTATTCTATATGGAAAATATACTCATTTATCTACATTTTTAATGATTTAAGCAACTTCTCCATGTAATAATAGTTATTGTTGCATTTTATTGCATATAGTATAAGCTGTGAAATCAACTAAAACGGTTTTATCTCACGTGCAGGTTAGAGGTGTGCCAATAAAAAACTGTAGAAAATGATTTTTATTCTATGTTCTTGGTTTAATGATTAAACGTTGAAACCACAATAAAAACGGTTAAGATTTAAAATGGTACTTATTTTAATCCAATCATGTCGAGGTACTTACAAAAATTTTTAGTTCATCCATTCAATCTAAATTAGAAGATATTGCGCTCAACGCAATATACATCCACTTTAGTTGAAATAAAAATTTAAAGTTGCATACTAAAATATTTATAGATGAATTAATATATAAATAATGGAATTTCTAATATGTTCAAGCGCATATGAACATTTAGAGATGGTTTATAACAAGCATAATCCAATATCCATAAAAAGTTTCCATCAAAAGTATTTTAAATAGCACATATTCTAAAAGACATAAAATTTTTACCCGTGTATGCTATAGGTATTAGACAATAATCCGGTTACAGTACAAGCATAAAAATAATATTAAATTAAAAAAAAAATGTTGAAAATGCAAGCTGCAATTTCTGTAAGGTGTTCGTTTTCAATAATTAATTAGATAATAAACCTACAGTAATGCAATACACTCGAGAATCGCTGGTATCATCTAACCTTCATCTAATAAGTTCTTAATACATTATATATACTTCAGCTTAACTCATTCATTAATGTCATGTCTATTAAAATCTTTTTTGATTTTATCGTTCTGTGACTTAAATGGGTTCAACTAATCAATGGATTAATTATTTGAAAAATTTTTGGACATCTTCAAAGTAAAGTTTTTTGGGTACATTTCTCTTTGATAACTTGTAGCACGATGAATATTGCATGATGATCTTCGCGGTGAAGTATCAAATAAGTCTATCAGTGTAGAATGAAATGTCTGAAAACTTTATAATCTTATTATGTACATATTTAAGATTTTGACCTATACATACCATCCAGAAACAACCGCCCAGAGCCAAGACTAAAATAATTGTGTTAAAGTCGTCGAAAAATAGAGGTCATGTTAATAATTATCTTCGATTCTTGTGTTCTGGTGTGACCATGGAAAAAAACTTAGGTGTAGCGCTTATTATACATCAAATTTGGTCGTACAACTTGTCTGTTGAGATGAAAAGTTTCTACCAAATCTGCAGGTCTGATAATAAGTTGGATGGAAATCAAAATATATTGATTTTTTGTCAAAATTGCTCGTGTTGTTTCGTATACGATTGGATTTTTGTCGGCCTACATGCAAATTTTCATTCTAATTTAAAGGCTGGAAGCGAAAACATCGTTTAAATACATGCGTGATTTTATTTTGTAGTATATGGTATTTTTTGTTTTCTTTACTAAGGCGTTTTTAAAATAATATTGACTGTGTCGAATGTCTTCCTCTCTCATCCTCATCTCCCAGTAGAGCATAAAGCCTCAACCATCCTTTTATATCTGATTCTGTTATTTGATTCTCGGCTGATATCATTCCAGGAATAATTGGCGTCTCCTACCTATTCCTCTTGCTTTATATATGAATAGTGAAACTCAATGATAAAAATTAGTTTCTTTTCTTTTTATTTGGTATTGTTTACCAATTCACCTTACCCCAGCTATTTCGTACTCATGAACCGAAATTAATTTATAATAATTTTAGTTTGTTTATACAATTTTATTTGCTTTGTCCCTGTTTTGTTGTCATTATTTTGGTTGATAGATTTAATCCTGTTAAGGCAATAGGAAAACGTGAGTTGCTTACTTAATTTTACCTTAGATTGGTAGTAAAGCAAGGATTGGTAAATAAAAGGATTAGAGTGAAATTGGAAACATGGTCGAAATAAGTTAAATCATTGAAAGGATTTCGCAATTAAATTTAGAAAATTTATTCTGTGCATTTAATGAAGAGGAAATTAAGATAGAAATAAAAGGACAAAGCAGTTTTAAAGCATTCTTAAAAGGAATTATTATTTTTTTTAATTTGTGTGCTTGAGATAACAAACACGAATTATTTTCTATTTTAAAGTATTTTACAAGTATTTAATAGAGAAAATTAATCTATTTGATTTAATATACTTATTAACTTTAATTATTTATAATTAGGAATGGGTATCTAATTTGATGACAACATCAATATTGAGCCTTTCCATTTAATTAATTTTTTTTATATTGATTAATAAATTATATGTATATAATTATAGTAAATATGGTTTTAATTTAGATATGTATATTAAAAAAGTTGTCTTTTTCGTTTACAATGTGAAAACTACAATTAGTAACAGTAGTGTCATTATCAGTTCTAATTACGATAAGATATATAACTAGAACTTCTACTAGAAACATTTTTTATTTTTAAAGTAGAGTATTTCTTTAATTAAATAATTATTCTAAATTTAAATTTCTATAATTATTTAAATTTGAAATATTTGTATGAAGTCATAATTACAAATCAACCATAAATACAATTTCAAGATTCTACTTTCCTGAATTCATTAAAATTTATATGTTTAATAATACCTTCAAAGACCCTGGTTTCTATTCAAGTAAATACAAAATCTAATAAAACTAAAGAACTGTTCTGTTCAGAAACAAAATTTTAATTCATAACTTACGATTACACAGTAGGACACAAAGAGGTTAATTTCCATATTTATTGACTGCAGCATAGACAGTAAAGAAGCTTAAGGGATTACAAAACACTACAGCAAAATGTGAACTGCTTTAAAGGTAAAATCCGAAGAGGAAGAACAGAAGCAATGATGCGTCAAATAGACAACAGAGATCAAAGGAAAGATATGTGTCATTTTATTAACCGATACTATATGCAACCGCAACGCAGTCACCTAAATGAACTCCTATGGCAATGTGCAACACATCATCCTGCTGTCTACTCAAGCAAGCGATAAATGTGTGTATCCTTCGTGCTTTGAAGGATGTTGAAATGAGTTCAAGAGGAAAATTTGCTATGCTGTTGTCTGTGGCCATTCAGAGCACATTGCTGCACACATAGTGAGTCTTGATAAGTTTTGCTGCGCACCGACCGTATGACCAATTATAGGTGCCACTATACAGCGGTCAGTGGAGAGTAGAATATTGAGCAATTCTAGGTAATTTAAGTTGATATATTAAAGCTGTAATTGCACAGTGCTGTGTGCTCTGTGGCATTGAGTGCAGTCTTGCACAAACTATTAACTGCACATGTTAGTCATGCACAGATAAAGATAAATTCTTGTAGGAATGGAACTCATTAGAAACAAATTAGTTTTCAAAATTACATAAATGGTAAGGAAAGCAAATACATATAGGAAGTTAATTATTTTAATTGAGGAAACTACTTATAATGTTATTAAAATATAAAAAAATCAAAAGCAATCACTGAATTGTGTGTGGTGTTGTTGTATATTTATAATATAAAATTAATATTTATTTAACTCTTCATAAATTACATACATTTATTACTAAATTCATATAGCATATATTTTAAACATAATTTAAATTAATTTTTGTTTGTTTTGTTTTTCAGATCAATCAATCCTTCAATATGAAGTTTCTGCAAACAACTTGTACACTACAACTTTTCATCATATGGGTTGCGGGAAGCAGCTTAATCCACACTGGCAATTAGAGGACAGAAAATGCTATTGCTTTATTCAGAATGAATAGGTTTTTCATTTTAACAAGCCTTGTGTTAACATTAACGAGCTCAATACATATTACACGCGCAGAAACCACAGACACGCCGGTTACCAATAAAGTCAACACTGAGATGGCTTCAGTTGCGGATGTAGAGGAGCAATTCAAGCCCACACTAAATCTTTTTCAATTGGATGAGCTTTATAAGCGTGTTAATGCTGGCCTATTCAATGGTCACAATATTAGCTTAAATGACACTTATGAGTACGACGACGATATGAACTGCTACAATGGACAAAATGCCATTGGTAATCTGATAACCATGATACTCTATTCAAGTGTTTGCATAATTGGACTCTTTGGCAATACTCTTGTCATATATGTAGTACTAAGATTTTCAAAAATGCAAACAGTAACTAATATTTATATATTAAATTTGGCTATAGCGGATGAGTGCTTTCTCATTGGCATACCATTTCTATTGTATACCATGCAAATTGGCAGTTGGAAATTTGGTGAATATATGTGTAAGGCATATATGGTAAGCACATCTATAACACAATTTACATCATCAATTTTTTTACTTATCATGTCTGCTGATCGTTACATTGCCGTTTGCCATCCTATATCATCATCGCAATATCGTACACCGTTTGTCTCCAAAGTTGTCTCAGGCATTGCTTGGCTGACGTCAGCGCTGTTGATGTTGCCGGTGATATTATTTGCTAATACCGTGCAGGCGGGGGAGCATATCTCATGCAACATTAAATGGCCCGAAGCACAGAATACACAATCGGGTACCACATTTATACTGTATTCACTGACGTTGGGCTTTGCCACACCGCTAACTTTTATATTGGGCTTCTATTGTTTGGTCATACGCAAGCTGCACACAGCGGGACCGAAAAATAAATCTAAAGAAAAGAAACGTTCACACCGTAAGGTAACGAAACTTGTTCTAACAGTGATTACAGTATACATCATGTGTTGGTTACCCTATTGGATTTCACAGGTGGCACTTATAAATTCGTCACCAGGCAAATGCGCTTCGAGACTAGAGATAACGATCTTCCTATTAGTCGGCTGTTTAGGTTATTCGAATTCAGCCATGAATCCAATACTCTACGCATTTTTGAGTGACAACTTTAAGAAAAGTTTTATGAAGGCTTGCACTTGTGCAGCACGCAAAGATGTTAATGCGCAGTTACAGATGGAAAACAGTTTCTTTCCGAAATTCGGTAAAAATCGTCAATCGGAACGTTTGATATCATCCAAAAAGGCCAAACAAAGAAAAGCACTAGCGGCACACAATAATAATGCCAACATAAATGCCACAACAACAACTACTACTGGTACTGGAAACACGGCGACTACATATGTTGACCCCATGACAAGTGTATTTCCATCAGTAAATGTGCCGGTGACTACGCATAATGTAGATTTTCTTGCAGCTACGGGCGGTACGAGTGCTACCGTACTAGTCATTGCTCCTGCACTTACAGAAAATAACTCAATCAATAAGGGTAGAGATTTGGAAAATAGTAAGCCTCCTGTTCTACATACAGACTTATAAGACAGACATTTGGAGACGTTTGTTTATGTAGCAAGAAGATGAGAAAGGAAGGAGTTCGCAGTGGTTAAAGAAACCCTGGTGTAAACTATTGAGAATATGTGTGGAAAATTATTTTATATTATAAGAGTAATGTACATATAAAACTTTATACGTAAATCAATATTATTAAATAATTCATTAAAATAATAAGTAATTATTTAGTAGCAGAAATTTGTTAAGAAATTTGTAAGTACTTATAAGGAAGGATTTTACAAATTTGCGGTAAATAAGTTGAACTATTTTTCTTAGTAGTGTTGTCTTATTCTATTTTTTTTGAAATTTTTTCTACTATAGTTATTTCATCTGACAACCTGGGAATGATCTACTTTATTAAGCAACGTTATAAACGACGATAATTACAGCACAGTGCACTTTGTAGCTATGTTATACACCCGATTCTAAGTCCAATTCATTTTGATATGGATCTGTGTTTCTTAGAGACATTAAATCAAACTGCAAACTGAGTCTGAACTGAGTCTTTCTTTTTATTCTAATGTTAAGGCGTCTTGAACCTGAATGATCAAGGCATATACAAAAAGATAACTCGTCTTAGAGACACTAAATCAAACTGCAAACTGAGTCTGAACTGAGTCTTTTTTTTTATTCTAAAGTTAAGGCGTCTTGAACCCGAATGATCAAGGCATATACAAAAAGATAACTCGTAAGTGACAGAATCTGCAATGATTTTATTTGGAGAATGAGACAAAGGTAGGCAAAAAGCGATAAATAAATGATTTAATAGTCGACGTTAATGTATTAGAGAGTTGTTGTATCAGATCTTTATAGCTGATCGTCAGTGGCGTTTAGAACTATTCGTTATTTTTCATAGTTTGTGTAAAATGAATTATTGGATTGCAAGTGCTAGACGTATAACTCTTTTACCTCATGATTAAAATTTAGATTGTAATTTTGTCTAGGCTGAAGTTCGCACTGAAAAGTCAAATTTTGCATATATAAGTTTTAGATACAATTTCTTTTTAAATTTTTGTGAATTATATGATTATATGTTCGCAGAACAGAAGTTTTGTTTTATTTTTTTGTGTTACTATTGGAACTACAAAGCTCACCATAATTTTTTGAGTTGTTTCTTGTACTCAGCGGTACCAATTAAAATTAATCTATGCGCATCTATCTATATCTATATTAAATAGATACATTTCAAAAAATGCTACTGTATTCGATAAATACAGCATGTCCTGTTACAAAGTGACATTAATTGAGAAGGTGAATTCTTGATCAAATAAACTAAACATTTCATGTGGGAGGCATAATTTTATATGTAAGTTTGAAACACAGAGTTATCTATTTTCAGTTTAAACTGAAATATATAGTTTCAAAAGAAAGTGACCCGAAAAAATTTGCTTCAAGAAATTGCACTGTAAAATATTATGATGACATTATGCATGAATGAAAGGAATATTAATGATCTTCCAGTTATTATATCAACAACCTTAACAAAAAAGGTAGTTTGTGAAATTTCAGGTTGTATAATTTTATTTTCATATTTTTTTTTTGCAAACAGTTTTCTTTGGCTTTGATTAATAATAAAAATTGAAGTTAGAAGGGCTCAAACAGTAATGAAGCAACAATAACAAAAATTTTAAATAATTTGTTCAAAATCGGTTGACCATACAACGCATTTTCGAGTACTACCAAGTACTCATCAACAATGACTTTTAGAAAATATTTGAAGTTTTATTTAATTTGTTTATAGTCTGTATATGAAATGTTGGACTGCGAGCGCTAGAATATTTTATATATAGTTGTATATAGTAGTTTATATATACGGACTACGGATTAATTATGATGGATACAAATTATAGCAAAAGTGATTATATAGTAGTTTAGTTAGTCTATTAGTTAATTCATTACTATAAAAGAAAACAGAAACTTAGTAAAATCAATTTCAATGATATCTGAAAAATATTTAAGCAGATGTGTTTACTTAATGAATTCTCAATTTTATAAATATTAAAATAAAATAAGTAATTTATATTTATATATACCGCAAAAATAATTTTTTATAAACCAAATTCATTTCATTTATAAACAAGTGGGGGCTAATAAGTAAGGTTGATCTTGATTAAAAATAAATTAAAGTTTTAATTTTAATAATTGTATGCTAATTAAAAAATAGAAAATAAATTGCATATCTATAAGAAATATTATTCAAACTGTATATAAGATATAAAATTATTTAATAATTTTGATGTGGAATATATTAAGTTTAAGCTTAATAAATAATTTTTTCTAATGTTTCCTTTTGTTTATTTTTTAAATGAATTATAAATAAATATTATTTTTTAACATTTTCGTAGTTTTATTAATTTTGAAGAATAAATTGGCCTTTTTGTTGATTATATATTAGTAAATTCTTATGCTTATCAGGTCATAAATCTGTATATTCCAGAACTAAGATATTTAGTTTTTAAAATATTTTTTAATTGAAATATATTATTTTATTTTTATGTTATTTTTGTGTTATTATATTTTTGAAGCATATTTTTTCTTCTATTCACCTGCAAACAATTTATCAAACCTTTTTCCACATAATTTGTGCTTTAAAGATAATTAAGTCTAAAGTAAATTAAAATGTTATGAATTAAACGAATTTTATTTTCAATTTTAAAATTTGGATGTTTTTCAGTTTGTTTACTTTTTTTCAGCAGAATTTAAATATTTATAGACTAATAGCATTTAAGTATGAAATTAAATTAAAAACAAATTGTTAATAAAATTATGAAATCATATTGCATAAAATATGTCAATAAATTTGAATAGATTTCAATTTAATTAAGTAAATACGATTTAATTGAAATAAAATGTAATGCTCAAAGCATAAAAATTTTATATAAACTATATTACATATATGTATTATATATGCCTGTATGTACCATAAGTACGAATTTGCGTATAACCATATGAGAGTATGTAAATGTAAAAATTTTTTTTTGAAATAGGCACTTATAGTTTGTATATATAAAAATATATAAAAAAAAAATAATATATGTCACTAAAACTAAATTGAATGAGAAAATTCCAAAAAAATAATAATAATTGAAAATTAAAAATTAATTTAATAATATTTGCAGTTAAATTTTAATATTTTTCCAAAAGTAATGAAAATAAATATTATGTATGGTGAAGAGATAAATGTAATTAAAAAATATCAATTAAATAAACGAAATTAAATCTTAATATTGAGTTATATAACTCAATTATTAAAAATAAATAGTATTAAAGGAATGTAATGCTATTTATATACAAAAAAATAAATTAATGTAATATTTTTAATTAAATCTGTAAGCTGAATATCTTTAAGTAATTTAATTAATTAAATAAAAAATTGCGGAAGCCGCTTTGTATCTTTTGAATAAGAATTTTAGATTAAATATTAAATATGAATTAAATATGATTAATA